CAATGCTAGTTGAAGTGGTGGTGGGGAATGATGGAGAGTATGTTGCTGTTGCTGTAGTTGCCTGCCCTTGGTCTGGAAGCCATTGATCCATTTCACTTTAACCAGACCAGCCAACATTCAGCATGCCCTAACTTTTCCCTGGTTCTCATTTTACTTCAACCAGACCAGCCAACATTCAGCATGCCCTAACTTTTCCCTGGTTCTCATTTTACTTCAACCAGACCAGCCAACATTCAGCATGCCCTAACTTTTCCCTGGTTCTCATTACAATACTATGACTTTAACATGGGAAATATTAGCACAGCCATATCTTGATTGCAACAGAACATATCACACAACAGAACACATCACACAGCAAAACACATCACACAACAGAAACATCCACCTGAGCACAACAACAAACTGTGTATGTCTCAAGAAAAACTGGTCGATGGAATCCAATTCCACACTATCAAAAAATATATATATATATATATAAACTGGGATACTGTGGTGCTGTCGCTGATATCAAGATATATATATATAAACTAGGATACTGTGGTGCTGTCGCTGATATCAAGATATATATATATATATATATATATAAACTGGGATACTGTGGTGCTGTCGCTGATATCAAGATATCAAGATATATATATATATATATATATAAACTAGGATACTGTGGTGCTGTCGCTGATATCAAGATAGATATATATATATATATATAAAACTGGGATACTGTGGTCGCTGCTGTCGCTGATATCAAGATAGATATATATATATATAGGATATAAAGATATATATATATAGGATACTGTGGTGCTGTCGCTGATATCAAGATAGATATATATATATATATATAAACTAGGATACTGTGGTGCTGTCGCTGATATCAAGAAATATATATATAAACTGGGATACTGTGGTGCTGTCGCTGATATCAAGATATATATATATAAACTAGGATACTGTGGTGCTGTCGCTGATATCAAGAAATATATATATAAACTAGGATACTGTGGTGCTGTCGCTGATATCAAGATATATATATATATATATATATATAAACTAGGATACTGTGGTGCTGTCGCTGATATCAAGATATATATATATATATATATATATAAACTAGGATACTGTGGTGCTGTCGCTGATATCAACGCCCTTACAGCCATGAAATAACTACTAAAACTTGGATGTGAACCAGTCACAATGGTCGCTTTAATCAGCTGGGTCGAGTGCTCTCTCAGCCTGGAAGGTTATTCATGTTCAATTGAAAGCATTTCCTGCCCTAAATGATTACATTGCATCTACTGACATACATCTGGTGATTTTATCCAGCTGTATGCTTGACAAAACTAAAACAACTCTCTAATCAAGAGTTTTCAATGACAGAAAACCAAAATCAAATATCCTCAACTGGCAGTACTTTCTCCAACAGTTTCTGAACAAGGACCTTTTTCTACACCTTCAGGCAAATGAGGCATATTATGCTAGACCAATGTTTTTAATAGACATTTGGCACTTGGTGGCAGGCGTGGTTAACATCACAAAAGTCACGTCGAATTCCCAGGACTTTACCTGGTATCCACTCAAGCCTGGGTTGACTCAGGAGCCAAGGTCATTTTTTTAAACAATATCCAACTCCATTCAGATTTGAACCCACAACCTTCACATCTGTGTGGCTGCAGGTGTACAGTTGTTAAGGTGTCTGCCACGACAGCAGTCCCAGTGTGACCCCCGGCCATGGCAAGATGACCATTTCTATCAGCCACAGCCTGAGCTTGCCCATACTCCTTACAATGGGTATCACACAATTGCCAGATTTCTCTGAGACAGGAAGCCATGTCAACTGACTCATAACTGGGGCCAAGAATAGGTGAAGGCCTAACATTTCAAACTAAAAAAAAAAAAAAAAGTATCTGCAATGGGACTAAATTGACCTTCCTGACATTTAAAAGGTTACCAGAAGAATGACATTCTTAAATAGTTATAAAGATTTTGCGTTTGTACTAAGTAAGTGTATGTATGTATGTTAATTATTGGCGTGCATATGTGAGTGAGTCAAGGGCGGGAGGGGGGAGGAGGGGAAGAAAAACATGCCAACAGCAGTCAATGCCAGGTCTTGCTTTTCTCATCTGGGAGGTCTCAACAACAACAACAAAAACAAAATGTAAAATATAAGATTCTCATTAAAAAATCTTTAAAAATAGTCATTTTTAAAAAAAAGTATAGATAATGTATTTTAAAAAACTGCTAATTATTTCTAAGTAAAAATATATTAGGCATTAACAAATAATTAATTAATTTATGAAGGTATCAACAACAAAGTAAAATGCTAAAAAATCTGTAAAAAGTTCACAATTCTATAAGTATAAAAATCTACGAATGTATGCAAGTGTCAGACAAGCTGCACAACACAACCATCTAGCATACACAAATACACAAGTGTTACACTGGTTGCCAGCAAACAGTGCTGGAAGCCAGGGTCCCTGGACCAGTGACAGTGGGCGTTAAAACAGCTGCTTTACTCATCTCTACTTAAGTTCACTTATACCAACCCCTGCAAGTGTTACACACAATTGTTAATCTACATAAGCACTAATGACAACAATCTCTTCAAGTGTCACATTTATTAATCTACACAAAGTACTACTGATACCAATCTCTCCAAGTGACAAATATACTAATCTACACAAACGGTGAAAATATGGGAGTGACTGCAGTCAAGCTTATACAAGGAATTCCAGAGAAATTTGACTAAAAAGCTCAACAAAATGGGGAAACAGAAAAACGTTCACATTTTTCTGCCTCCCCATTTTGTTGAGCTTTTTAGTCAAATTCTCTGGAATTTAATCTACACAAGCGCTAGAGATATGGGGGTGAGAAATGATGATGACACTTGAACAACTAATGCAGTGTTCTTTAACCCGTAGGCTGTGGAAAAGTTCAGGTGGGCCGTCAAAACTTTCTGCCTAATCATTTAGCAAAGGTTATCCGCGTGTGGGTTCCGGGGCCCTACTGTGGGGAAGACAGGAATAGACCCACTTCCTCCCCAACGAGCATGTCGTAAGAGTCAACTAACTGGGTGTTTCCTTTTAAGTCGGAGTGCATATGCCTGAGAGGCAAAGAACCAACAGTCTGCATACAAATATATCTGATCTGTAAAATGGATGTGCACGCAACACAGGTTCTGAAAAAGTCTGAAGTACAGAGGTGGATGAGCTAGAGTTTACAGCCGGTGAGCGCAGAGAAGAAGAAGATTTAACGGGATAGCGTGAGTGGTTTCCCTCTTGCAGTCTGCAGATTACCAACCCCAAGGATGAGAATCAAACAGGTAAAAGAGACAACATAACAACTCAGCATTTAAAGACGCTGGCTGAAAACTTTGATAATGTATAATTATTTCCCTGACAATCAGAATCCTCTTAAAGGGAACATATTAAATAACAATCTCTTCTTGTAGGACATAAAACTCTGCCTACTTGACCATCGGAAAAAAAAAAACATCTGCAAAAGTTTTCTAATGTCAGTCTTGTATCCAGACTGAAAATATCAGCATGACCTCAGCTGTGGAAATCACACAAACAAGAATATCCACATCTTGCAGTTACAGAGCTATCAGATTGTTCATGAAAAGACTTTCTCAGCTATGACGGTAAAAAAAAACCCAAACAGAGAAATCAATGTTACTGCAGCGCTTCATCTATCAGAAATAACGCTCCACCCCGGTATATCAGATTTGCTCTCCTCTAAGCTGCAACAGATGGCACATTAGCTGAAAATTGTCATTTTTGTAACACCAGATTGAACCAATAAGTTGCCAACTATGTTTTCTGTTTGTTTCTGTGGTCTGTTAGACATGCCATGGTACAACTTTCTCCATTGTGCTGGGCCATGGGTGGGAAAAGGTTGAGAAACACTGATCTGATGTACTGGTTAAACTGCTTCATCCCCCACCCATCCCAGTGTGAAACATTACCAAGGGTTGTACACAAACCCTACAGTGTGTGCGCAGCAGAAATCATCATCATCATGCAAGCCTTCCCCTGTGGTTGACATGTTACATAAGAAACAACATCAGTCATTGTCAGGGAGAATAATCAACTAGACAGTGTCATGTACAACAATCAGCATGGTATGCTCCACCCACAACAGCAGATGTGTACTTAGAGCACAACTCTAGAACTATGTAGCTCTTAAATCTGTGTGCGCGCGCACGTGCACGTTTGTGTGAAAGCTTCATGATTTTCAACCTGACTGACAGCAGTAGCAGCAGGACAGAAGTATGTGACAGCAGCAATAGCAGGACAGCAGTAGCAGCAGGACAGCAGTATGTGACAGCAGCAATAGCAGGACAGTAGTAGCAGCAGGACAGCAGTATGTGACAGCAGCAATAGCAGTAGCAATATTAGCATTAGTGACAGCAGCAGCACCTATAATACAAATAACTTTTTAATGGTAATAATTTCAACAATGTGGGTGAAGTATAAAAGTTTGCTTGCTGTTGCAAATATCTTGACTTCTAAAGGATAACCTCTGTTAAAGTGTTCCAGTATCCTGACAGACAGAAATCACACCAGGTGGAATGTGGAGGATACCCACATCAATCGATCTGTCAGGCACCATGTCCACAATAAAGGTTGGCTCCACCTGATCTCCAAGACCATCTTGGTTGTTTATTCTGAACACTGCTGTGTGTCCATCTCCCAATGTCCCCCCCCCCCCCCCAACTGCCTGTCTCTTTCCTGTTTCCATGAAATACAACCTAGTTTTCTGTATGACCACACTACCATTGACTCAATGTGAGTACATACATACACCAGTGACTCAATGTGAGTACATACATACACCAGTGACTCAATGTGAGTACATAGATACACCAGTGACTCAATGTGAGTACATACATACACCAGTGACTCAATGTGAGTACATACATACACCAGTCTTGTTGTCAATGTGAGTACATACATACACCAGTCTTGTTGTCAATGTGAGTACATACATACACCAGTGACTCAATGTGAGTACATACATACACCAGTCTTGTTGTCAATGTGAGTACATACATACACCAGTGACTCAATGTGAGTACATACATACACCATTGACTCAATGTGAGTACATACATACACCAGTGACTCAATGTGAGTACATACATACACCAGTGACTCAATGTGAGTACATACATACACCAGTGACTCAATGTGAGTACATACATACACCAGTGACTCAATGTGAGTACATACATACACCAGTGACTCAATGTGAGTACATACATACACCAGTGACTCAATGTGAGTACATACATACACCAGTGACTCAATGTGAGTACATACATACACCAGTGACTCAATGTGAGTACATACATACACCAGTGACTCAATGTGAGTACATACATACACCAGTCTTGTCAATGTGAGTACATACATACACCAGTGACTCAATGTGAGTACATACATACACCAGTCTTGTCAATGTGAGTACATACATACACCAGTGACTCAATGTGAGTACATACATACACCAGTCTTGTCAATGTGAGTACATACATACACCAGTGACTCAATGTGAGTACATACATACACCATTGACTCAATGTGAGTACATACATACACCATTGACTCAATGTGAGTACATACATACACCATTGACTCAATGTGAGTACATACATACACCATTGACTCAATGTGAGTACATACATACACCATTGACTCAATGTGAGTACATACATACACCATTGACTCAATGTGAGTACATACATACACCATTGACTCAATGTGAGTACATACATACACCATTGACTCAATGTGAGTACATACATACACCATTGACTCAATGTGAGTACATACATACACCATTGACTCAATGTGAGTACATACATACACCATTGACTCAATGTGAGTACATACATACACCATTGACTCAATGTGAGTACATACATACACCATTGACTCAATGTGAGTACATACATACACCATTGACTCAATGTGAGTACATACATACACCATTGACTCAATGTGAGTACATACATACACCATTGACTCAATGTGAGTACATACATACACCATTGACTCAATGTGAGTACATACATACACCATTGACTCAATGTGAGTACATACATACACCAGTCTTGTCAATGTGAGTACATACATACACCAGTCTTGTCAATGTGAGTACATACATACACCAGTCTTGTCAATGTGAGTACATACATACACCAGTCTTGTCAATGTGAGTACATACATACACCAGTCTTGTTGTCAATGTGAGTACATACATACACCAGTCTTGTCAATGTGAGTACATACATACACCAGTCTTGTTGTCAATGTGAGTACATACATACACAAGTCTTGTCAATGTGAGTACATACATACACCAGTCTTGTCAATGTGAGTACATACATACACCATTGACTCAATGTGAGTACATACATACACCAGTCTTGTCAATGTGAGTACATACATACACCAGTCTTGTCAATGTGAGTACATACATACACCAGTCTTGTCAATGTGAGTACATACATACACCAGTCTTGTCAATGTGAGTACATACATACACCAGTCTTGTTGTCAATGTGAGTACATACATACACCAGTCTTGTCAATGTGAGTACATACATACACCAGTCTTGTTGTCAATGTGAGTACATACATACACAAGTCTTGTCAATGTGAGTACATACATACACAAGTCTTGTCAATGTGAGTACATACACAAGTCTTGTCAATGTGAGTACATACATACACAAGTCTTGTCAATGTGTTGACACACTCCAGACCACATTACCAGTGACTCAATGTGAGTACACACACCAGTCTTGTTGTCAATGTGTTGTTGACACACTCCAAATCTCAACAATAAAAGACATTTAGCCACAGAACAACAAACAACAACCATACATACAACATACACACAGGCAAATCAAAATATGACTGCCCTAACATAGACTATATAATTATACATTCACAACTATCTGCTTGGTTTACAGTACAATATTTACTGCTTCCCTGCAATTGAGAAAGCTGGTTGAAATATCTCATTAGGGCATACTTAATATTTGACACAACTAGCTGTGGTTCCCAGGCTGTGAAAGTCTTCAGTCAATATGAAAGCTGAAGTTTATACGGTATCAAACTAGGCTCAGATTCAAATACAAGGTCACATCTAACAAAAGGTGTCAAATAAAATTCAAAGCTGAAGGGAGATCATTTCCGCATCATCGTGTGTCCAATATAGTGCTACAACAACTGATATAAGGATCACCAAAAACACAGAGGACAGAACAGGAAGTGCGAGGAATAATCCAGAGGGGAGGGGCAGATGTCAAATGACAGGGTGGTCTAGGTTGGGGCCTATGCCCAAAACAAAATCAAAAGAAAACAAGTTAAAGATCACTGATAACGGTTTGCAATCAGATGAGTTTAGGTATATGAGTGCCAAATATATGGAAAAAAATTCATATGTAAAAAAAAAAATGTTTGTGTGTGTCTAATATCCTTGAATGTGGAGTCATTTTAATATTTTGTTGCAATACTGATCTTTAAATTGATTTGATTTTTCTGCTTTTATTTCTCCTTAATTTGATATATTATATGCTATTATAAAGCCAGTACTTTTGTCTTCCGGAAAGTTTTAGCTGTCATGTTGCAGTTACAAAAAATGAAGCTAAAATATAATACTGCCCAAACATTCAGGAAAAAAACGGCCCTGAAAGAGTTAACAATTGTTCAATGAGTTAGCTCACCAGACCATCAAATGTAATCAAGTGCCTATATAATATTAAGTGTTAACAGTCTATAAAAATGTTTAATTTAATGGTAGCTGCACATATAATAACTGCTCCTATAACGTCACTGTGACATAGGTGTGTCTTTAATCACTGTTGACCTGTAAGACTACAAAAGTGTTAAACAGTACAAAGAATAAGTGTCCAAAAGAACTGTATAGAACAGTGTCAAACAACAGAAAATACCAAGAACACAAAACTGTTTAAGATATGAAAACAAAAAATGTCACACAAAACATTTGTGCATAAGAACAAATGTATCTCTACATCAGCCTTGTGTGAAACCCTTGAAGGACCAAAGATTACGATAAAGAAGGAAGCAGGATAAGAAGTGATGACAAGTAACATTTTCAAAGTGTTAAAATGTATTTGAATTCACATGTACACACATGCAAAGGGCACCACTTTGATAAAGATGTCAATAAAATGGAACTGGTCCTGACAAAAGTGCTATATACTGTATCCGGATGCAATGGTCAGCACAAGAGATTTGGGCTTGGACTGTCCAAGTATTTGATTCTCATGAGGTGATTCTGCTGGAAGGCCAACAGAATACCATTTTGTTCAGTGATATTTCAATTTTTATTGCTGGTTATCTATTTTATGAGAAACTGAATAGGTTCTAGAATTGGCAGAAATTGTTAGTAAGTAAAAATGTACACACGTGTAAAACACAGACATTATACATAAGTGATGCAGTTGTGGCAGTGCAGATTGCCTGCCCCCCATCTTGCATGTAAGGATGCTACCATGATCAACCTAAGCTAAGCTCCCAGCTCAGTCCAGCTTCAAGACAAGCTGCCTGTCTTTAGGGCAGCTGGACACTGGATGGAGCACACTTATTTTAAGAGTTCAAAACTGGAAACAAGGCCATAACTGATTTCCATCCTGGCAGATTCTTAAAGATTATAAAAGCTAATCACAATCTGATCTCAAAATGTCACATATAGTCTATAAACCTCTGTACATAATTGATGGTACTGTTGTAGTCAAATTGAGACCATCCCCCCCCCCCCCCCCCCAAATCAAGCTTGACTGATGGCAGTGACATCCAGACAATATACAATAGTGTTTAGATGGGACATACAGATATCTCCTGACTAACAATTCTAAAATCACTGCACATTAGTAGGTTCAAGAGAAGGACCTGCTTCTATGCCACACAATGTACTGAGTCATTAAAGGGCAGCAAGTTACCAAATTGATGTATCAACAGAAACAGAAAACCACATCTGGAAAATATGATACACACAGAGCAAGGTGAAGACCCTAAACAAGAGGAAACGATGGCTTCAAGCCTCAGAGAAAGACTAACTAATATAACATCATATTATTTAAAAAAATATACACATGAGCCTTACACCCCCCCCCCCCTCAAGATAACAGCAACATCATGTTTCTGTGTGAAAGAAATCTGGTGCAGTGCACAAGTTATCAGCAGACAGTGAACAATGCTTCCTGTAGCATGTAGACAGCAAACTGCACACATAACATTTCAGTATTTGCCAGATATTTGGTAGTCTTATAAACTAATCTAAATGCATATAAAAAAGTGAACAGTGTTAATTTAAAACTAATAAACAGCACACACAAAAAAGGAATCTTGTGTTTATACAAGACAAAAATCGGCTATATATAATGCAATGCCGGCTCATATATTTAAAAATCCTGAACACAAATATCCATATCAATGAACAAGTCACATATGTAAATATCTGTATATTCCTGGACCAGCTTCCAGCTGTGAACAGCTGCTGGCATGACAACAGACACCCCATGAAATGTACCTCCCAAGCTTCACAGACTAAAGTAACAGTCCTGGAGTTTCTCTGAAAGACAGTGGATGACTGCAGTCAAGATTTGTTCCCATAAATATTCAAACTTCCCCCTGTGAGCTTACATAAGCAGCGCTGGGTTCTGTCTGCAGAAGGTCATGTTTACAATCCCTCAGGCAGGCTGAGCTTTATAATTGACAAATCTACCCAAAAATGAATATTTATAGTATGTGTGATTCAGGTACGCAAACATCTGGATTGTTGTTGGTGCTACAGAGTTGATGTGTTGTGATGAGATTGTCTCTGCATGGTCTTTAGAGGCAGATGGGTGTGCTTAAGGAGATATCTATAGTAATGATACAATGACAATGATCTATGAGACCCCACCCTGAAACAACGCACTCTAGTGCAATCATAACCTTATCTTTCCTCACTACAGATGCAAGATCATGCAAAAAAACCTTTAATGCAACGAATATTGGATCTGATGGTAAGTCAGGGAGAATAATTCCAGGAATCCTGTTGTGTCTTCCATTTGTGAACAGCTGACGGCTATCAGTTGTGTCTTCCATTTGTGAACAGCTGACGGCTATCAGTTGTGTCTTCCATTTGTGAACAGCTGACGGCTATCAGTTGTGTCTTCCATTTGTGAACAGCTGACGGCTATAAATTGTGACTTCCATTTGTAAACAGCTGACGTCTATCAGTTTTTTGCTTAAACAAGACAGAACAGTGTCAGTATACATGCTGTGCATGTTAACACTGGGCTTCCATGTAGAAGTAACAGATGGCCACTGCTCCAAAAACTTTCCACAATAAGACAGCTTAAGCACAACAGAATATCTGTAGTATGTGGGCAATCTATGAGACAGCTTAAGCACAACAGAATATCTGTAGTATGCGGGAAGTCTATGAGACAGCTTAAGCATAACAGAATATCTGTAGTATGTGGGAAGTCTATGAGACAGCTTAAGCACAACAGAATATCTGTAGTATGTGGGAAGTCTATGAGACAACTTAAGCACAACAGAATAGCTGTAGTATGTGGGAAGTCTATGAGACAGCTTAAGCATAACCGAATATCTTGTAGTATGTGGGAAGTCTATGAGACAGCTTAAGCACAACAGAATATCTGTAGTATGTGGGAAGTCTATGAGACAGCTTAAGCATAACAGAATATCTGTAGTATGTGGGAAGTCTATAGACAGCTTAAGCATAACAGAATATCTGTAGTATGCGGGAAGTCTATGAGACAACTTAAGCACAACAGAATAGCTGTAGTATGTGGGAAGTCTATGAGACAGCTTAAGCACAACAGAATATCTATAGTATGTGGGAAGTCTATGAGACAGCTTAAGCACAACAGAATATCTGTAGTATGTGGGAAGTCTATGAGACAGCTTAAGCACAACAGAATATCTGTAGTATGTGGGAAGTCTATGAGACAGCTTAAGCACAACAGAATATCTATAGTATGTGGGCAGTCTATGAGATAGAAGATGGGGATCCTCAGTAGTTCTACTAAGTTGGTGTGTTAAACTGTCAGTTTCTCATGTGACATCAAATAGGTCAGAGCAGAAATGTAAACTGTGGATGTCATGAGGATGATCTTAATTCAACCAAGTTAAAGTTCAACATTTTCAAGTGAAAACTGAGAGGATCAACTTCACTGCACTCAGTGTGTTCCTGAACAGCTCAGTCTCCTTCCACAGAACAGCTAGCTGCCTGCAGTGAGCCTCACACCAAGCAACAACCTCACTTCCAGCCAAAAATCCCTAAACACAGCCTCATGAACCAAATGACACAAGCCCTCTACAGTGTGAAATCCCTCAAACACGGCATCATGAACCAAATGACACAATCCCTCTCATCATCATCATCATCAGGTGCCCTGCCGACTGGCGTGGGCGATCATGCCTCTCCATAATCTGCGATCTCCTGCAGCATGTATCAGTTCATGTGCCTACATGCCATACACCAAGACTGTCACGCATCTTCTCTCGTTGTCTTCCTATATCTCTCCTTCCACAGATCTTTCCAGTGGTCACAACATGTTCTATTTTCCCTCTTCTCATTACATGGCAGAAAAATGATGACTGTCTCCTTCTGATGTCTGTGATAAGTTGTCTTCGGGCTCCTGCCTCTTTTAAAACCTCTTAGTTGCTCTTTTTGGCTGTCCAAGGTATTCTAAGCATTCTTCTGTAAAACCACATCTCTAGAAGAGGCCTCCAGAAATTGTTTGGTCTGCCTACCGATTGTCCAGGATTCACAGCCATATGTTAAAACAGGAAGTATGTAACAAGCAAAAATTCTTTTGCTAACTCTCAATGACAAGGATATATTGCACAAGATGTTTTTCATTTTAAAAATGTTTTTGCCTGTCCTATTCTATTTCTTATCTCAGTTATGCATCTTCCATCTGATGTTATCCATGTGCCCAGATACTTAAATCTCTGTACTTGTCCTAAAATAACACTATCAACTTTTATTACACACTTAGGAATAATTAGTTTCTTTGATACCACCATTACTTCTGTCTTCCCATTATTCAAACTGAGGCCCATTCTTCCACTTTCTACCACCACAATGTCTATCATTTCCTGTAGTTCTTTCTGACTTGTTGCTATCAAGACTGTGTCATCAGCATAACGTAAATTGTTTATATTGTGCCCACCAACCACAATTCCGGGCATACCAATTAAAGCTCTCATTATATATTCACTGTATATTGAAAACAAATCAGGTGAAAGTACACATCCTTGTCGTACGCCCCTCTTAATGCTTTGAAATGTACCTAAACAGTTGTTTATTCTTATAGCTGCTGTTTGCTGCCAATACATATTCTTTATTATTCTTAGATCTTTCCCATCAATGTTTAATTTTTCTAACAGTCTGATTACTTCTTCATGCTTCACACAGTCAAATGTTTTTGTACAGTCTGTGAAGCATATATACAAATCAGTCTTTACTTCTATAGCTCTTTCTGACAATGTCCTTAGTATGGCATTGTTTGTACCTTTTCCTTCTACAAATCCACATTGTTCATCGCTGATTTCTGGTTTAATTTTGTTTCTTATCCTTCTCATAATTATTCTTAGTAAAATCTTAGTCATGGGACTAAGTGTGAAATCCCTCAAACACGGCATCATGAACCAAATGACACAATCCCTCTACAGTGTGTGAACAAATGAACTGCATCAAGAAGATAAGGTGATGCATGATGTCACTGAAAACTAAACTAAACCAAAAAAAAATGACTAATTAGGTCAATTACAAACTGGCAAGCAGCCTCCAAGCAATCACTTTACAATGGCTGTCTGATACCACAGAAATCTGGAAAACACTTTCAACACACAGTACTGAAACAAACAGCATTGAAGGTTCCTGGAAACAATCAAATATAACAGCAAATGTGCTAACAGGAGACCCACAAGCACCACTCAACAACTAACACAAGTAATACATTCCTAGCACACGTAAATACAGTCACTGGGTTACAATCAATTACATTCCACTTATTGCTTTCTTTACATGTAGTTGATCAAAATACCAAAGTCACATGAATTAACCTGT